GGCCGGGTTCATCTTGGGCCAGATTCGGACGCTGCAGCGGTTTTCGTGGATTGCAAACTTGGCCGTATGGGTGAATCTACTCATCATTTTCATCTGGTAAGTCTTGGAATAGTCTTCGGTTCGGGTTGATGTTGACCAAAGACAACCAGCATGGGCGTCGTGGCACACTCCCCTCCCAACTTCGCCGCGACCCAGGCCTCCTTCGGCGACACCTTCGGACCCGGACCCGTCATCACCTACGCCGGCACGCCCCCGCCCGGCCTGGCTTCGGGCGGTTCCGGCTTCCTGGGCTCCATGAACGGGCTGAACCAAGCCGTCTACTCGTACGGCGGCTGTCTCATCTTCGCGGCCTTCATGGCGGAGATGCGGCACCCCATGGACTTTTGGAAGGCCCTTCTCTGCGGTGAGGTCTTTATTTACGTGTGCTACCTTGTCTTCGGGTTGTACGTGTACTCTTTCCAGGGCCAGTACGCCTTCAACCCCGCCATGCAGAGTCTATCGCCGTACTGGTGGCAGACGGCGACCAACATTCTGGGCCTGGTGACGGGTTTGATCGCGGCCGGGTTGTATGGGAATATCGGCATGAAGGTTCTTTACGTTGAGCTGCTGCAGGAGATCTTTGGGGCGCCGCCGTTGACCGAGTCTGCGGGCAAGATGCTGTGGGCGGCGGTGATACCCATATACTGGGCTCTCGCCTTCATCATCGGCGCCGCTGTGCCGCAATTCTCGCTGGTATCTGGGTTCATCGGGGCGCTGTTCATCCTGAGCTTCACATACACTCTGCCGGCGCTGCTGGGCCTTGGGTATTGGATTCGGAAGGATGCAATGGTGCCGGAACAGGAAACGTTTGACCCAACCACTGGTAGGTATGCGTATGTCGATAGTGGATTTCAGCGATACTGGCGGGGGTTCATGAAGAAACCTCTCTTCAATGTTTGGAATATCGTCTACATGCTGGGAGGGCTTGTCACGACGGCGTTGGGCATGTACTCGTCGATTGAAGGGTTGATTGCGGCGTTCAATGGCAAATCCCAGGCTACGAGCTTTGGGTGTGGAAGTCCAGTCTAGGTAATTGAGGCTGCCTTGGGAATGATGCTTTGTGAGGATTCCTCAGTTGCTGCTGGATAGGGAGCGTACATCTTACTTGCTTGGAAATGTACTATTTTGTGAATTTGCACCAGTCCATGATACTTTAATCATGATTCTCATATTAGAAGACTGTATTCATTATGACAGCGCTGAGCCATCGACGAGCTAACTGTTTGTTAGACTGGGTATCATGTAAGTGGGCTCCCAAGCTTCTCCGTTGCCTTCCGCGCCCCCGCCACCCCGTCATGTCACAAGTGGAATCTCTGCCATGGCATTACCGGAAAACTCGTCGTCCACCAGTTCGCACAGGGAATCTCTCCACGCCGCTGCTCTGCTGCTCATGCCACAAGCCTTGAATTCCCACCCAGCCTCCATCTCCCGATAGCTTGTAACGTCGCCATGCCTCGCGGAGATGGTCTGGTCGCAAAGGGCCTCTTCTGTCTTCTGTCTGCGTCGCGTCGTCTTTGGGCGGCGGGGTGGGTACGTCTGCCTGCTTTTCGCCAGTACCTTTGATCCATTCTCCTTGCACATCTCGAGCTCTCTCGATGAGCTCGCCGATGAAAAGCTTCGATACTGACTTGACGGCGAGAGCGACGTTCGGTGGGACGGATTGCGATACTGTCGCATTGACGACCTATGTGGTACTTTCGTCAGTACAATGGTATAGCGCCAGCCGGCAACCGTGTTGAAAAATCTTACCCTCTTGACTACGGACTCTGTGAGTTTGGCCGCACGCCAGAGTTCGTAGCGATCGTACTGTTCTGGGTCAAAGGACTCCACGAGCATGGCACGGAGTCTTATCTCCTCTTGCTTCTGCTCCTGCGTCCTGACTGTGGAATCCACCAGCGCCATGCGCATATCGTTATCGTCTTCATCATCATTGGCGCCTTCCTCCTGTGCGTCGCCTCCAGCGCCTGCGCCGCTGACAGTTGTAGGTGCGCGTCCGCCTACAAGAGAGGGCGTTTGTTCTCTGGTCTCAACGTTGGTCTGGTTCTTGGGCTTCCTGCCGCGCTTCTTCTTAGGAGGCGCACTGACTTGGCTGCCGCTGACGACGCTAGCGTTGTCGGCCGAGGGTGAACGTGGGAATGGTGAGCCGGCTTCGGGTGGGAAAGAAGTCTGACGAAGGGGGTGGGCGGCTGCGGAGGTGACGGAGAGTGTCGAGGCCTTTCGGCGCTTGGCAGACCCGGGAGGGGCGCCATCTGATGCTCGCTTCTTGTTCGACATGGGGAGCTGCGCGGGTGACGGATACGGTGGTGAGTGTGCGGTTGGAGAGTACGAATATGGAGGGGAAGCCATCGCGAAGGCTTCTTTCTAGGTGAATCGCAAGAGAAGTGGTGAGCGCGGGCAAGCGCAGTTGTGATATCGAAGCGAGGGGGGGCGCCTGTCGCAAGAGTCGAGAATAGGATGTGGTCGAGGGAGGTGTCGGTAGGGGAGTCGTCACGTTTGCTTGGGTTCAAATTTGGTGGAAGTCGGCAAGGTCGTCGAATATCATGTCCAGCTTAAAGCCTTGAGTGTAAAGGCGCGCTGCGGTCGATGGATCTGGAAAGAGTGGAGCACAGGGTCCCGGATGACTAAGGTCGAGTGTTTCCTGAGTTTCCCCGGCTAGCTGTCACATGACCGTAGCCAGTCCTGGGCAGTGTCAAGGTTTGAGCTACACTGAGGTAAGGGAGATCGTGCACGGCAGGCTAGAAACAAACGGGCGGATGTTTGAGCGAGGTTCCACTGAAGGCACGTACCCCCCGGAATGGACCCTTGCGTCAGACGGGAATCGGAGAAGTGGATACCTGAGGTAACTAGCCATTTTTCACAGTACCAAGCTTACACTGCAGCGAGCGCTGAACGTGGCTGGCGGCTGCACCGGTGACTGGCAGAAATGCACTGCTGCAGCACGTTGCAATCCTGAATCCCGGGGGAGGTACCTCTGAAGTCGCGCTAAACCACCCGATAAGATAACGCCGGCCGTAACCGAATTTTCTGCTCCGATTTCCCTCCAGAGTCTCGAATGAGCGCAGCGGGGGCCGCCTGTGTACGGACTTTTGTTCATTTGGAGCACCCAAATGTTCCCATTCTCCCACCTTCATAACCACAATCACCGACCTTGACAACCAATTCCCTCTCCTCTCCTCGGATCCAGATATCACAATGACCCAATCAGAGGGCGCAGCTGTCAAAGAAAGGAAGAGAAGCCGGAGCAGGCACCAGAATGGCCACCACAGCGCTTCAAGCGACGGGAGTGAAGCCGAGACCGCGAGCCAGTCAAGCAAGCGAAGCAGCAGGAAGCGCAAAGGCGACGACGATGCCAAAGTCAACGGCAACCACTCCAAGAAGCAGCGCCGCCCAAGCCTGAGCCAGCCTGCGCGCGATCCCCGTGATACCACCACATCCAAGTCCAAGAAGAAGTCGTCCAAGCCCAAATCCGAGGGCGTCGTAACGAGGTCACCGAGCCCGGTGATCGACTTTGACGGCCTGAGTCGCCCGAGTAAGAGTCACGCCATTCCCGACCCCGCGCAACCCCAATTGACTAATGCGCAATGTCTTTTCAGGCCTCGGAACCCGTGAACGTCTCGACGAGTCCCCCGAGCAGGCTGCCGTTCGTCTCGAAAAGATGAAGGGCGCCGTCCGCACCATCCTCGAATGCGTCGGCGAAGACCCCGACCGCCCCGGCATCCTCGACACCCCGAGACGCTACGCCGAGGCCATGCTCTTCCTGACCCGCGGCTACCAGCAGAACGTCAAGGACATTGTCAACAATGCCATCTTCCAAGAAGGCCACAACGAGATGGTCATTGTCAAGGACATTGAGATCTTTAGCATGTGCGAGCACCACCTCGTTCCGTTTACCGGCAAGGTTTGTAGACCCCGATATCCGCCCATTGACAATTGCGACCCCCGGCTTACAAGTGTCTGCAGATGCATATTGCCTACATTCCCAAGAACCAGGTCATTGGCCTGTCGAAGCTGCCCCGTATTGCCGAAATGTTCAGCAGACGTTTCCAGATCCAGGAGCGCCTGACGAAGGAGGTTGCCTACGCCATCATGGAGATTTTGAAGCCCCAGGGCGTCGCCGTTGTGATGGAGTCCAGTCACTTGTGCATGGTCATGCGCGGCGTGCAGAAGACGACGGCTAGCACGATAACTAGCTGCGTGCTCGGTGCCTTCGAGAAGAAGGAGAAGACCCGGAACGAGTTCCTCAGTCTGGTGGGGTTGAAGACATAGACGGGCATGCTGCGCAGAGGCACTCTGAGACATTACTCGAAAGGAACATCTTCCGAGCGGCAATGATCCCGTCTGATATTTTGTTCTACATATTCTCGGCGTTTGGTTCACACGGGCATGCATCACGAATTGGAAAGACCATGTTTAACACTGGGTCAAGCATTGGCGATTATTGGGGGGGTAGATTTCATGAGAAGGGAGCTCAACGCTCGTTCTGGACTAAAAGAAATTTTCAAAGCGCAAAATACAACACTTACATTGCTGGCTGCGGGCTGGCTAGATTGCTCGTTGTCCAGCCAAGGGTTATTCAAGCCTGCCTACCACGCCTGCCTACGTACTATGTACATCCACCGTATCCTCACGCCTACCGGCATAGTAGTCCGTCATCGTGCTCTGGCGCCTAAGCGGTGAGACGTCTCCCTGCATTGATATGCGCTGCAAGGGAGCGCAAGCTGTACCGCCATGCCGCCATGGAGGGGCAGTGAAACAAGGCCAATTGGCATTGACTCGGAACCGAGTCGCGTTGGGAAACAATGTCGCTGAGGGAAGGAAGCAAAAGCAAAAGTGAACCCCGCACATACCACCACCCACCCACAGACCTCTTGGGGAAGGCATCGTCAACACAACACAGCAAAAGCCAAAAGATGAGAGGCTATTTTCCCTTCCAGAATCGAACTAGAGACCTTTCGATAACAATGGAACCATTACAGTCGAACGTGATCAGTGGCCCAGAGATGGGACCTGCTCGGTGAGATGTTCGAAGCCGCCAAACAATGGTCTAAGAATGGAGATCCAGCGACTCCACCAGTTCCACAACCATCGGCATCTCGCTGGTAAGTGGGTAGTAGAATAAGAGGACAGGCAACACACAAGTTAACTTCGTTCTTAATATCGCCGGTATTATTAGAACCACTATAACCCACTTCTTCAAGAGCATTCTTTAGTGAATATTTGAAAGATGAGAAGTAAGAAATGCGACAAGGATGACAATTAGAGCAATGATAGTCATAAGTATAATAGAGATAACAAGAGTAATCAAGGCCAGAAAGGTAAGAAAGTTACATATGATTGGGAAAGAATGAATGATCACTACCGAGGCAAGGTATGCAACGATAAAATACTTACTATTTCAAGTCTCTCAAGGCCAAACCTGACACGGATGAGGACACTATCACCAAGAAGACCGAGAAACCAGACCAAGAGTTGCATAGGCTGAACAGCAGTTCCCGAGCAACCAACATCCATCACGGAAATGGATACCAAACTGACAGCAGAGAGTAAGTAGACCAGCAAAGAGAAATAGTGGTGTTCAACTAGTTGCTTCCACCCGGCTAAAGCGCACGTTTCTGGACCTCATCAAGCAGCAAGATAGAGACAACATTCCTCTCAACTCGGACAACTCTTAGGCCTTGGATTGATGTCATCTGGCAATGTGTTTAGAAGTCAAGCTGCGCGTATCGCAATAAGCGTACTCAATATAAACTGTTCACTTTCCCCGGGTTGAGGGCAAGATAGGGGTTCGAAGCAGAAGATTGATAACATTCTCTTTAGTCAAAGTGAGGTGAGAGTTCCTTGTCGAGTAGAGGCTATAGTCCATTACCCCCCCCCCCCTCTTCTCTCACTCAAGGTGAGTTGTGGGATAGTTCCTTCCTCGAATAGTATAGATTAGTCTTCAGCTCCTGCCCAGAGAAGGCTCAAAGATCTCCATTTAATACTTGAGTATTCTCTCTTTTGTATCCTTCTTCATCTTCCTCTTTTCACAATCTACCCACAGAAGGAGTCTGGTGTCAACGGGCCCCTTCCGGCCTCACACACACAATAACTGGCAGGAAAGCACTCCAAGGGATGTTTTTCATTTTCCTTTTCTTTTCAATACATCCTACTAATTTCAAGAGTGAAGATATCTTGTCATTTCCACACCCTCACGAGTTCACCAATACTCTCCGCGCCTGAGAAGCTCAGCTCCTTCAGCTTTACCTACTTCCACACCAACAGGCCCGTTATCTCTAGTAATCGTTCATCAAAAATACACGTAAGTACCATATTTGTAAGGCGTGCTCGGTGTACTGACGAACCCAAGACTCAGGAACCCCATCCTCACTTCTTCGACACCCTCAACATGACTGACGCCAACACAAGGGACCTGTCCTCTCTGGACGGCACACCACGTCTGCCCCTGCAGGAAAGCGAGCCGCGCGCCAGCATTGTCGAAACCCCCTCAAGGCAGGTTCTCAATGGATCACATGTTGCCAGAGAACGTCCATGGAGCAGAGGTATTCTTCCTAATGACTTTCCCGAGTTTCGCAGACAAATGGTACTACGGCTTTCCAAAGCGCACGAAGCCGGTGTACAGTGGAACGACATCTACTTTGACGCTGAATGGTGCCTTCCTTGGTGAGGAGAATTGATCCAGCGGATCTGAAGCCGGGCGAAGGGAAGACTTTGTGGAAGTGGTCGGGTAATGGCAAAATCTCGCACGATTCTAACAAGGAGTCCAAAACAGTAGCCGACCAGCATATCAAGGCACTGAAGGAGCTCTTCGACAAGGAGCTGTCGGGTGACAACCGATACCACGAATCTCTGACCAAGCTGAAGGATTTGGCAGAAATGCTAGATGGATACCCTGTCGCCAAGCAAGACTTCGAGGATGCCATACAACCAGTTAGGGAGGCCATAGATGTCTGGCACGAGATCTTTGCGAAGATGGGAGCAAAATCGGTGCCAATCGCAGAAGCAGATCTTGTCTCTGATTTTGGCAATCCCATCAGCCCCTTCCTTGGTCTACCGGCAGACTCCACGACGTGGGTATACTTCATAGGAAAGGTAGTTTGACTGAGAGATTGGGACCTTGTTCACAAACTTACGAGTATCAAGGTTTATGGAGTTGGTGAGTTCGGGCTGCTGTCAAAGGCCGACCTCGATGATGCACTCCTCAAGGTCAAGAAACAAGCTTGTTTCCAATACCTTATCTGGACGGAAAAGCTCATCAAGTCCTACGAGGGCAATGAGTCTAACCTTATGAACACAGGGCATCGACGCAACGTCGACGAAAAGCCCCTGAACGCCAAGTTCGAGAAGGATGAGGACATCGCTACCGAGAAGCCTACTCCAAAGCAACCGATTGGAGACGAGTCCCACAACGACGACCGTGAGAATGAGGATGCCGCCGCCATAGAAGCAAGTCTCTGAGAACCCGTCGGGGTTGCTGACGATTATGTGAATCTCTCATGATCGAACTTCATATTGAGCGATTCTAATTATCAGGAGTATCTTCGCATCGTGGCCGAGCAGTCAAAGGAGAGCGAGAGCGAACCCACCGCTTCACAGAGCAATCCACAGAATGATGAGGCCGATGACGAGATGATTATCGATGAGGAGGCACTGAACGATATGTTTTCAGGTTGGATCGGGCACATGCCCATCGCCAGAGGTCTTGACGAGGTGGAAGATGAGGAGGAGGACGGTAACGAGGAGGCAAGTTGGTTCATAGAGTGAGCAACGGCACCAACCAACAAGTAGTAGATAATCTGCGGTTCTCAGATGGGGACAAAGGTTCAGGGCTATACAGCGAATTTTTCACGTCTCAACGCGTGCATTGAGCCTAACCCATACACGTAAACCGCCGACGTGATTTAGCTACCGCAGTCCACATGACACTCTGTAATAGTCAACCTATCAGCAACGTAGGAGGTTAGGTAGACGTCAGCGTACACTTGATGTGCAAAGAAGCAGGCTTCGCATTGTCTACCTGAGCCCGTATGATACAAATCTCGGCATGCCTATAAGAAAGGAAAAAGGCCATCATAGACAAAGTTTTGAAATCTCCCATATATCCTCCGCTGATCTTCGGTCCAAACCCCAAACTCCGATCCCATCTCCACGCCAAACCCGCTTACAGCAACATGACAGCAAACGCCGCCGCGGCGATAGAGCCGAGGCCGACGGAGAGGGTAGCAGCGCCAGCCTTGGCGGGGGAGGAAGTCTTGGGTGTACCGTTGTTGGAGGTTCCGTTGCCGCCGCCACCCATGCCGTTTGCGTTGGTGCAGTTGCCTGCGGCGAATGACTGCTGGGTTGATGAGAGTGTTGTGGCGAAGCTGCCGGCAAGTTGGCTGGCGACGGACTGAACACTCTGAGGAACCTTTGTGACGACGGTATCGATGAGCTTCTTGGCGCCATCGCCAACGGAGCCGACTTGTGAGGAGATGATACCGCAAAGGCTGGCCTTCTCGAATTCGGGCTTCTTCTTCTCGAGGTTCTTGGTAAGGGCGTTGCCGTCGCTCTGGAGTCCAGAGACGAACTGCTGGAGCTGGAGGGCCTCGTTGAGGGTGATCTCGCTCGTGCCCATAACCTGCTGGGTTCCCTGGTTGAGGGTGTTGGTGAAGGCGCCAGCAGCACCGGCGAGGCCGCTGAGGTCGCCGTTGAAGCCCTCCACAGCCTTGTTGAGGTCCTTCAGTGAGTTGCCGACTTGTTGGATGACGCCCTGAATGGTGGCCAAGTCACGCTCGGCGACGACCTTGGTGGGGGGCTCGGCGAAGACGCCCATGGCCAGAGTGAGGAGAGTGATCTCGGTAGTGAACTTCATCTTGTCGGTCGAGGATACCGGGGGTTGTGAATGTAGTTGGTGTTGATGGTGATGATCTTCCGGAGATTCAAGTGTATAGCGTACGGAGGGTATATCGACGTGTTTGGCCAGCAAGCATGAGAGAACTGGAATCCAAGTGAGGGAAGAAGGATCTCGGAGGCTTATAGACTGGCACAGACTAGATCAGACCCTCACATACGGGAGGGGCAAAACAACCTTCGCACAGACAGTAGCATTATATGAAATCTCAGCTCATCGACTTCCCAAAAGCGTAATCCGTCTCACAAGTTACTCACGGTTCACCCCCGTACCTATTTGCCCACCTTCGTACGGTTTGGGGGAGTGGGAGGTAGAGGAGGGGGCGAGAGGCCCGAGGAAGAAGATTCGACTCGACGCTTCTTCTGGCCCTCCATCACGTCTTCCTCGACCGGGGCATGCCTCTGGCCATTATTCGCATTGACTGCTGTCTTTGTACTTGACGTCAATGCATGGATCAGGAAGAGTACCTGGCACGGCAGGCCTACTCAGATTCGAGGCAGGATGGGGTATGAATGACTTTGTTCGGCCACTCGCATCGCGCGAATCGGCGTGACCCGCATCCCATTGCCGATGGATGAACCTTTGAGGCTGATCGTCAACATGGGGGATGGCATCCTTGTTTAAGGTCCGGCGCTTATTTCACACAAGCTCGACGGGTAGCCCGCAAATTCGACCCGTACTTGCGGGTTCGGGCAATATTGACGATGTATCTGGCCTTCCTTCAAGCCTCACTTTCTCGATGGTGGAGGCTGTGCACTACCTTAAACCCTCGAGCTCTCTATGCGTTGCTCGACTGATATTTGAGGCGCGGGGCTTCGTCTTCTCTTCGACATTCTCACCAGCCAAGCCTCTTCGAATTGCCCCTCAGCCAAACAACCAATACCACCACCGGGCGGCGGAGCTATTTTAAAACAAAGATATAAAACGGATTCGTCCCCGAAGCTGGGGTGTTAAACACTCTCCAGCCCATGAGCCTCCCCCTTCCAAGCACAGCCTGACACGACGTCGCTCGCCGAAGTGAAACGTGAAACGTGCGGACGGATCCCTGCTCAACTCTCTTCCCGCGCTGGCGGATCTGGCGATCCCCCACGGCACCACTACCAAAGAAGACAAACCTCTCGCTTGTGAACTTCCGACTTGCTTTGCTGCGGAGTTCTCTCCAGGCCTCTGATAGGAAAGAGCTCCTCGATAAGTCAACCGGGGGTTGTTGGGATCATCCAGGCCAACCGTCGCAGGATTTGTTAACGAGAGCGGGATACGCCGGCAGAGGTCAGACCGCTCGTCGGTGCGAGCTTAATTCTTCCTCGGTCGGCCGGCCATCTGCCTTGTGTGTGAAGGGTCTCTTCAAGGGTCCTATCAAACTGTTTTCAGGCCTCTTCTCATTCTCAAAGCGATAGTATACGTTGGATATCGCACGTTCTTTAAGCCTGATGGCAGATGACCGACCGGTTGATTGACGTAAAGGACGGGCCGTCTTTGGCGTCTTCACGATGCATAGCTTCATGTGCGGCACTGACGATGGCCTAGCGTGTAAGTCAGTGTCAGTCAGAGTCTGCCTTCCACACGGCCTTCCGCTCAAATTTGGGTTAGTTGGAAAGCCTAAGGTGAGGTGACGCCCGGAAATAAAACTCAGGTAGAGTGCAATCCGAGACCCGCAAATCAGGAGTGTCCCACGAGTCGATTCAGGAAACACTCAATTCACTCCCGCGGCCCGGCGTACGAAGCCAAGATTCCTTCCGCAGGACCTCGCGCAGTCTCCGTGAAAACTGGTAATGGTGTGCAGTCTCGTATGAACTCGTCTTTTTTTACTCTCCCGCAGCCCAGTAGGTGTGGCCAGGCGGTGGACCACTTACGCGACGGCTCGTACGACCGCGGGGGTGGCTAGGGCAAGAAGATTGAGTGGAATGAGAACCGTAATCGTAGACGAACCGCGCCAATGTGTCTTGAGTCTCAGCGAGAGAACTTCCCCAGTAGTCTGCAAGAGAGGCAGGGAGACTCAACAATCTGAACCTTTGGTGCGAACAATGAGGGGGAAAAGATCTTTGTACGAGTATCAGAATCCAGGTGAAACAAGCTGCGGCTTAGACCACATTCCCCACGGAGACACGAAGCGATCAGAGTGCCCGTGGTTGAGAAAACTTCCGACTTTCGACCGACTCTGCCGCGCTAGAAACGCGAGGGGGGAAGGGATGAGTCGATATACTGGATTCCGGATCTGCAGCACCGTACGCACGGCGCGTCAAAGTGTTCGTGCCAGCAGCCATCGCTTGTCACCCTTGTGTCAGTCTACGAGATTCAAACCAGTCGTGCCTTGCTCAACTCCGCGCCCCTTCGCATCGGGACGGCCAAAAAGGGAACCTGTGCCTGTTTGTTGTTGGTTTCTTGAGTATTCTGTGTCGTTTCTGGTATATCAAACCCCAGCAGACCTTCCCGTCTCGGTCTCGCCTCGATACTTTTCGCGGGCTTCATCCATGTTTGGTTCGCAAGTCAGCAGCGTAGCATCCTATCCAAGAGATGTTACAGCTCTAGTCCTAGTACCGAGGTCTGAATGAACTCAAGCTCGTGGGTGGTCCTTCCAGTCTTCTAGAATGCTACTCCCGAGACGGAACCCCTTGGCCGCCGATTAGCTCTCGGCGCGAGCCCGGGTGTCTGGCCTCGGGGCCGGCTTGTCGAAGCCGAAGTGTGGATCTCCGACCGGAAACCCCCCGTTTTGTGTGCTGACAAGAAGCAGGCAGCCAACGAACAGGTTCTCTAAATCCCACTAACCAGGGTCGAATCTCCAAGGTCGCTTTCTCTCAGGATATTTCTCGACCGGGTTTTTTGAGGGCCAGACCCACAGAGTCATCTCCGCGTTCTCTTAAATGCTAGTTATGTACCCCGCACTGCAATCTCCAGAGTATCTTCACTACGATACCGGCTTATCGGTGAAGTTGCTTCTTCGCCGGCATTCAAAAGTAAAGGAAGATACTTACCTCGGCCTTCTACTACTGCCCCAGACCATCCCTTAATGACCGATGCAGGGCTAGGTATCTGAACAAGCTTGAAAGAAGCTGATCAAGTGATGATATGCGATGTAACGCGATAAGATGGGAGATGGAGCCACGGTGAAGGGACCTGCAAGAGCTCTCAAGTATGAAAGTGTACCGACGCCGGTGAATGTTTTCGCGGGATTCTTGTTGATTCATCCTCCCTCATGAGTTGTGTACGCGAATGAAGATGAGAGTAAACTCTGCATTTTGGATAGCCTCATTGGCATTACCTGCCTCCGCGGTCCACTCCTGGCTCGACAAGACCCTGCCTTACGAGGAGCGTCTCCTGTCTTTCATCGCCCAGCTCAATGACACCCAGAAGCATGCCATGGTTCAAGGCGATACTGAAGTCAGACTTTCAACTCCATATTACCCATGAAAAGCGAGAGAGCTCATGCTAATTAACCCGTAGCTGACAGATAACGGAACCGGCGTCAACGCCTGCATCGGGCATATTCAAGGAAACTCATCTCTCGGCATTCCCGGCATTTGCATGGGCGATGGGCCTGCCGGTGTCGGCAACTCGCTCGATAATGTGACCGCTTTCCCAGCTCCAGTTGTCGCGGCAAGCTCCTGGGACACATCGATACAGTATGAGTTTGGCCAGGCACTCGCACAAGAGCACATGGGCAAAGGCCGCAATATCGTCCTTGCGCCTACCATCAACATTCTTCGCTCTCCGCTGTGGGCTCGCGCTGCCGAAACTCTGTCCGAAGACCCATGGCTGACAGCCCGTATGGCGGTCGCCGGTACGATGGGCATTCAAAGTCAAGGAGCTCTGGCGTGCCCGAAGCATTTCGCTGCGTATAACCAGGATACGAATCGTTTCGGCAACGGTCCGGAGTGGGTAACAGTCGATGCGGTGGTTGACAAGAGGACGATGCATGAGCTTTATCTACCGGCTTTCAAAGCCAGTGTGCAAGAGGCAGATGCAGCGAGTGTCATGTGCTCCTACAACCGACTCAATGGCTTCTTCACCTGTGAGAACGACTGGCTCCTCAACCAGACTCTTCGTCAAGAGTGGGGGTTTGAAGGGTTTGTGGTCGCAGATTGGTATTTCTCTACAAGAAGCACCGTTGCTTCTGTCATGGCTGGGCTCGACATCTCAATGCCCGGCGGAGACTTGACGGATAGCTACGGCTTCCCTGCTTACTACGGCGAGCTACTGGTGGAAGCCATCAATAATGGGTCGATACCCCATGCGCGACTTGACGATATGGCTCAAAGGGTCTGGCGGTACATGTTCAAGCTTGGACAGGTCGACGATCCGGTGACTGGAGACTCAACGGCCCACGTACGTACCCAGGAGCATCTGGATCTCGCGCAGCGAATGGTTGAAGAGGGCGCAGTTCTGCTGAAGAATGACGAAAGTACCCTTCCTCTCTCTCCTGAAAAGTATTCTAAAATTGCTGTCTTTGGCCTTGGAGCAACTGCTGAGAACCAGGTCTCTGAAAACCACGGTGGCTTTGTCATTGACTCTACCATGGTTGTTCAAGCACCCTTCGATGCGATCAAGCGTCGAGGAGATGCAGAAAATATCACAGCCAAGTACTCCATGGCTTACCCTGGCACTGGACAGTTTCCCACAATTCCCTCGAACATGTTTAAAGATGGAGGCGTCAACGTGACGTATTACAAGACAACCGACTTCACTGGCCCTGTCAACATGACCGACCTTATTCCCAATATTACCATCGCTACGTATCCTACAGCTCTCTGGCAAGCATATCCAGATGTTTTCTCGGCTGTCTATGAGGCGGTCTTTCTTCCAAACACGACAGGAATGTACTATTTCTCCATGTATGGTCAGGGTACTGCGATGCTGTATTTGGACGACGAACTCGTGGCCAACATGTCCTATGCCAATTTTGGGAACTATATTCAAGGCGCCGCATATCTTGAAGCGAGATCCGAGGTCAACCTTCTTTTGAAATACGACATGGGCTACTCTTTGTCTACTGGTGCGTATGGGATCAGTCTTGGAGTAGACATCGGCAACCAGACCCGGGACACAACTGCCGACGAGCTGGCCAAGTGGGCAGATATCAGCCTTATCTTCGCCTCAGACCGGATATCTGAGGGAGCTGATAGCGGCCTTGGACTCTCTCTACCTGGTGACCAGGATGCGATCATCAGCCGGCTCGCCAGTATCTCCAAGAAGACCGTCGTGGTCCTGAATACAAACTCGGCAGTTCTGATGCCTTGGCTTGAGCAAGTCGAAGGCGTCATGGAGATTTGGTATCCTGGCCAACAGGTTGGGCTTGCGTTAGAGCGTCTTCTCTTCGGTGATGTAAGCCCGAGCGGGAAGTTGCCATTGACCTTCCCCAAGAACCTCAACGACACTATACGTATCAATACCAACATCGAAGTGCCCTACGAAGAAGGCCTCTATGTGGGGTACAAGGCTTATGATCAGAGCGGAATCGAACCGTTATTTCCGTTCGGTCATGGCTTGACGTATTCTAACTTTAGTCTATCCGGATTGGAGGTATCCTCAAATTACAGCGCTATACTCGTCAGAACGACCTTGTTGAATCAAGGAACTAGCAAGGCAAAAGAGGTCGTTCAGCTCTACGTTGGATTCCCGGACGCTGCGAAGGAGCCACCAAAGTTGCTCAGGGCTTTTCAAAAAGTCGAGGTCCAAGCTGGGGAGACCAAGGCTGTGGAGTTGTTGGTGAAGATTGAGGATCTCATGGTGTGGGACACTTTGACTGAGGCCTGGATATTTGTAGATGGTCAGTATGAGGTTCTCGTGGGATTCTCGGCGGGAAATATCCAGGAGAGACAGGTAGTAGAGTTAAGCCGAGGCTAGAGTCCTTTTCCTGAGAGTGAATAATGTTGAGATTGAATGTCCTCGAATCAACGCAGCATTGTTTAGGAACTTGGTAGATCGATATCTACCAGAGTGTGATTTTACAGAATGTAAATCATTTACTTCTCAAGGATCTTGCCTCTGATACCCTTCACGTGCCCATCCCTGCCAGCGATTGAGGGAGTTTCCGACCAGACACTATCTTCGTCTTTAGGGCCTCTAATCAGATGGGTCTTATGTAAAATAGGGATGAATAATTTCACGGTAGCTAGAAAACTCTTCTCACCATCGAAAGGCTCCTAAGTAAGACCCGTATCAATAACTGAGTACTAGCGATACTCCCCTCCGCAGTCTCCCATCGCGTCAAACATCTCCGACCTCCTGCTCCTCTTCAATACCTCTTCAATCAGGTCTCGATCCTTCTGGCTTAGAGACCATCCCAGACTCGCCAGGTTCTCATCCGCGCGCTCGCTGATACCCATCCTAGTCCCAACAATGACTGCCCCAACGTAGGGGAAGTCCAACACCCAACGAGTGGCCACGTTGGAAAGACTGACGCTATGTCTTGACGCGATCGATTTAAGCACTCTCAAGAGATCCTGGAACAGATCCCAGCCCCCCCAGCTTCGGATCATAGCGTAATACTTGCGCTGGCTCGGCGTAATCGCCTCGTCGTAGAGATCCGGCTGCCCCTTTCCTAGCCACTTCTCGGCGAGGAACCCACCACACTACATCGACAGCTGTTAGCCTTCAAGCGGATGAATCATACCAGTCATCTCCTGCAGCTTACCAGTGTTCCGTATGTCAAGAGTTTGATATCATGTTCCTGGCAGACCTTGCCCATGCGGACCTCGGGCCTGCTATCGATCAACGAAAACTAGGGCCCATCAGTTTCAGCCCCTTAGCCTTTCAGTTGGCGGAAGTTCAGTATACCTGTACTTGATTTGAATGTATTCTGACGCCTTTATCGATGGCGACTTGCATATGCTCAGTATCGAAGTTGCATAGCCCCAAAGCCTTGACGCGCGAGTCTTCTTCAAGAAATCGCAACGCCTCCACATATTGAGGGTCCTCATACTGTCATGGGGCCTCAGTTAGCCACCATCAAACTACCGGGCAGGCCTATATGGCTACTTACGAATTGCCAATGAAATTGAAGCAGGTCGATCTTATCTGTCTGTAATCTCCGGCACCTTTCAGCTACGTTGGCTTGCACGGCGGCACGTGTAACGATCATGGGGTTGAAGACACAATACTTGGTCGCTGCGAACGTCGAGTCGCTGAAGGGATACGCCGAACGAAAACGACCCTAACTCATTTAGTATCACTTTTCGAGGGAAATGGTATCAATATGAGACGTACAAAGATGATTTCCGCATCACCGTAGTGGTCCGCCATATCGAAGGCTGCAAGACCTACTTCCATGTGCTTGGAGAACTGGGCAATGATTTTGGATGTAGGTGCTGAGCCCCAGGATGGACTAGACATTTGCCAAAGCCCGGTGAATAATCTAGGCAAATTGAAGCCGTTCATCTCAAACGTCTCCCTCGCATCCACAGGGCCTGCAAGAGATGCGCTTAGGCCCGATGAGCCGATTAAAGGCATATCGAGGACTGGAAGTGGCACTCCAAGAAGCATTGAAGTCGCAAAAAGTGCCCTCGTATAGGGGTATTCCATTCCTTTCTCTTCTATTATGGCTCTGCACTCGAGAAGAGACTCGTGCAAATTGGTCGCGGCGTCGCGCTCATCGTCTAGGAGACTTTCGCGCGCAGCAGCTAGCAGCCTTTTCTCAACGGCGGTCATGATCTGGACGATATCACCATCCACGGATGCCAAGACAGCATGCGTTTTCTCCTTGGTAGTCTCTGGATCGACGAGAAGCTTAATGCCGCCCCTTACCACCCTGGTCATGAGCGGAATGCTCTCAAGACTGAGCCCGCATCCCAGCATGCAACGAATTGTTGCCTGAGTCTTTCTCAAAGTTGCTTCCGAAGACAACTCGCCTTGAGCTGACAGCAACGCTGCATCTCTGACATAAGTTCGGGTTTCGGCCTCGAAAGTTGTGGTGACGTCCGGGTGCGCGGCCAACAGTGAGCGCATGATGACCCGTAGGTTTGCAGCGGGGAGGTTTGTGATAATGGTGTCCGTCATCATGTTGACGTGCGCCGTCTTGGCGCTTTGGCCCTCTGGTTTTGCCGCCATTTCGTTTGTATTGTCTTCTGGAAGGTGAGTGACTATGTGTTTCTGAAGGTCTCTTGACAAAATTTATGTTCTCTCTTCAGTCTTCGATTTCGACAGCTTCCATGTAAGCCTTCTCTTCGGTGTCCAACGAAATGGACGATGCTGCTGCTGCTGCAGGGACAAGCTGAACCCTGATTTCGAGCCAGCATACGCCGGCATTCATCTCAACTACCAGTAGCCATCGGCGATCAATGACTCTGACGGTAGCTTGCCGGCTCATTACTCGGTTATCTTTACCCACGTCACACCACAGGGAACGGCGGGGAGAAAAGTGGGTGAAGATAGGGAAAGAAATCCGAAAAGGGTTCTCAGCACCCCCGAAGCCGGCGAATTCCATCCCTTAGCCTTATCGAGTCCAACTGCCGGTCATCCTTAGTGTTGACTTCACGAATGGTAGCCGGCGATCTAGCACAGTAAAGCAGGAGTAAAGCAGCATGCACAATGGAACACACCCAAGCATCGCCATTTCTCAAGCCCGTGTAAGATGCAGCGGTCTGTGATGCCAGCAACATCTGCGCCGACTGACAGACATGCCTTCGATCAGTTCCAAGGCGTGCCTTCAATGCAGGAGTGTCAAGATGAAATGCATCACCGCAGATGATGCAACGGTTTGCGATCGATGTACCCGGAAGTCATTAACGTGCATTTTCCAAGATCACCGCCGTGGAAGAAAACCAGGGACTCGGTGCGTACCACCTGGAGAAACAGTGCTATAGCGATTAACAGTTCAAGAATCACGCCCAAGCGCAAAGCCCAGATCTCGACAGCACCAGCCGCTTCTTCTCAGTCGGTACAACAAAGGCAGATTGAGGAGAGAAGTGAACTGGCGCAGGCAATTCAACGAAGTCCAGACTGGAGCAATGGAAGCCTGCAGCCTGCTGGGCTGTTTAGTCGTGCAGCCACTCGAGGCAGTTTCTCACTTGGAAGCATATTGAATGCTTCAGAATCGACCACTTCAGAGGCACAGCAAGAAGAGTCGCGGATCCCTGCAAATGATCCAATTCAACTTGGTCTCCTCAACTCTTCCATCGCCTCGTCTCTGTTCGAAAAGTGAGTTCAAGAATGCCAACGCACCTGTCACAACCCTGTTCCACCCCGCCACTTTGAAGCATCTTCGTCTCTAGCTTCTCCCTTTCTGCTCTCGCCACGACAGGACAAGAGTAACCTGTGAATAGTTTCATGGAATCTCTCAATCCATACATAAGCCAATTGGACCCGTACCTGCACACCTTCAGCCGGATCCGACAGGAGTCTTCATTCCTTCTGACGGCAATCCTATCCGCAGCCTCAAAGGCATTCAATCCTGCTCTATACAAGAGACTCCGCGACCATGCAGAAGGTATCCTTGCCTCTACGTTCAGAAAAGGAACCAAATCAGTTGAGACTGCCCAAGCGGTGATGATCTTGACCTATTGGAAAGAGTCTGAAGACACACGTGCCTGGATGCTCCTGGGATACGTGATCAGGATGGGCATGGAATTGGGCTGGCATCGGCTGGCTCCTTATTCGCCGCAATCAAACGCGGCCATGGACTTGGAGCGACGTCAAGCCAGGAACATCGAGAGAACCTGGCTGATTCTCTTTGTTTACGATCGAAGGTAAGATGGAGATCAAGACTGAGCGAAGATGGTAGCTCAAGAGCTAATAGGGCGTAGCATGAGCTTACAAACTGGAAAGCCGTGGATGATTGAACGAAGTGAGTTCATCGAGTCTATTGAGCCATGGTGTAAAGATGCAATGGCTACTCCTGGTGATTGCCTGCTCGGTGCGCTGGTAACACTACGACTGTTGAGTTCAGAGGTTTTCAGGCTACTAGGACCGAGGTCAAGTCGAGTTCGCGCCAGACAACTACACAGTCTCGAATCTCTCCTTGCAATCATCAAGAGCAGAATCGAGGAGTGGGAGTCGAGGTGGCTCAGGGTCGTAGATACAGGTATGCTCAAACCCCAAGCCGTGAAAGTTAGCTAGCTAAAGCCTCCAACTAGACAGCTGCCATCCTTTTTTAATCCAGTTCTATGGCACACATCTCAAGTTACAACTGTTCTCTTTGCCATTACAGGACATCTTAGCACAGTCGGATCCAAACATGACCTACCATATGGAGGCTCTCTGGGTTAGCTACTCAAGTGCCCTGGAGATGCTGCATCTCATCTGCCGTCACTCTTCTTGGCTTTACTTTACCCAAGACTCTGTTCATGTGATGACTGCCTATAGTGCAGCATTCTTGATCAAGGTTAGACCATTGGGAAACTTTCTACTGTTCTTCTTTATTTGAAGGCTGACTGGAATCTAGCTCATGCTATCTACGTCCCATTCCATCGCCGGCCAAATTGAACCAGCCATTCAAAGTGCAATTTCGGGTGCAGCCTTGGTTTTCTCCCAGCAAGCTGCGCCGCCGGGCTCGAGTTGCGCACTTCAGTCAAGGTTTCTCGACAACATCTTGGCTAGAATCTCCAAGCCCTCAGCCGAGGCGTCGACGGTAACAGATCTTCCTGAGCATCGTGACCAGCTTCGGGCAGGCGAGCGGGACACGACACGCGAGATCGGGTATGCCGCAACTTCAGGTCGAGCTTTCGGCCAGGCGGAAGGCGCACTGAGTTTGGATTTTGCAGATGATGAGACCTGGGTTGGACTCATGGCTGAAGCTGGTTTCAATACTCAAGATGGTGTGTTTTTTGCTTGAACATCGATAAGACCAAGATGATGTTGAGTACGTGTGTCTGTGTAAGACTTCTACTTGGGCGCATCGGCGTTGCTCAAAGGAACGGCAGTAGTCTCTGAGTGACGGAACGTTCTGATGCCTTCTCGGACAATCTTCAGCTGGGAAGGACAGCAGGGATCCGGGCATGCGATCAACGCATCGGTTGTCATCCAGTCGTTCTTGGCAGTTACTCGTTGCTTTGCAGCGAGTAGGGGTAGCACCGATGCTGTTTTCGAGGATCAGCAATTGTGACTCTGGAGTAAATAGGGTCGGTATTCGCGTACATAAGCTGTATATGCTGATGCCTTGATCTGGTGGCAAATGCAACATCTCACCCTTCAGCGTGAAGTAATCCCCTTCTTTGGCACCACACATGATTCTCTTGCCTGGTGGACAGACGACCTCGACCCGCAGGTCGAATAACTGAAAGGCGTCCTCGGGACTTGAAGAAGAAATGGGTGCCATGATGCTTGGCCTAGGAAAGTCTTATCGTTGAATGCCCTGTGACAGAGCTGCCAAGTCAGGGATCGCGTTCCCCAGGCTTTTATCCAATCTTTGAAGCCGTTCTATCCCCGCACTCACGCGCAACGGGGCTTATCAACTGGCCGGCGTCTCAAGCCGAAGCTTGATCCTGGCACCGGCAACTCAAAGTCGATCGTTGACAGCGACCCAGCGCCCGATTGGCTGCGGAGTTGCGCCTATCCTACGACCCTGAATGGCAGCTCCGGGGGCGTTATCAGGACCGACTTTTGGGTGCTTACACTTGTGTCATTCATAATGTTGATCAACCCATCCTAATACTCGGAAGAAGTCGCAACGAGATGCATCCTGGAACTTCAATAGATTTACAAGGCCATCCTATTTGAGCCCTACAGATCCTTATTATTCTGTTCAACTCTTCCATCATGGAGGGGAAGGAAAAGGGCGAGACCACTACTGGTGCAACTCCCGAAGTGGACTCCGGCTCCGGCCAGAGCACCTCTATCCCCGGAGATGGTGAGAGGATCAGGCGTGACTTGGAGTCTCGGCATATTAACATGATTGCAATTGCGGGAATGATTGTGAGTCTACTCAGTATCGACCATTTGGTGGGATGATTTGTCGCCTGATACTGGATCAAGGGAACGGGCTTGTTCTTGAGCTCTGGTACAACCATAGCCACTGCAGGCCCCGCCGGAGCACTTTTGGCCTACATCGTTATGGGGCTCGTCACCGCCGGCGTCTCGTATACGACGGGGGAGATCACGTCCTTCATGCCGTCGACTGGTGGTTTCATTCGACATGCGACCAAGTTTGTTGAGCCAGCACTCGGTGCAGCCACTGGCTGGAACTTTTGTAAGTTCAAGTGCAAGGCCACGAGCTTTGTAAGTGCTGAGAGTTGAAGCACAGTCCTGACTTGAGAATAGGGTATACCATGTCGATTTCTGTTCCTGCCGAGATCAGCGCCGCTGCAACTTTGATTCAGTTCTGGAATACCTCCGTGAATCCAGGGGTTTGGATCACAATCTTTCTGGTCTTTATCATCACAGTCAACTTCTGCGGCGTCCGGCTATACGGTGAAGTAAGATACCACTCTTCAACTCAAAGGGCTCGGCAACTTACAAGACAAACAGACCGAAGTTGTGTTCGCTTCTCTAAAGATCATGACAATCATCGGCCTCATCATCGGCGGCCTAGTCATTGATCTCGGTGGCGGCCCCAATGGCGACCGTATAGGTTTCCGATACTGGCAGGACCCCGGTGCCTTCAACAGCTATCTAGTCGCCGGCTCATCTGGTAACTTTCTGGCTTTCTGGAAAGTTTTGCTCTCGGCGGCTTTCAGCTACGGCAATATTCAAGTCGTTGCTATTTCGGGCTCCGAAACTCGGCAACCGAGAAAAATCATCCCAGCAGCTACGAGGAAGACTTTCTTTCGCGTATTCTTCTTTTATGTTCTTAGCATTCTAATTGTGGGAATGATTGTGTAAGAAGCTCGTATTTGTGTAGGGACACTACTTGAGGGACTTGTCTAACGAGAAGAAGGCCATCCAACGACCCGTCACTCAGCATCTCGACCGGTACCGCCCAGCAGTCCCCCTTCGTCATCGCCTTCACCCGCTCCGGTGTCTCTGTATTGCCGTCAATCATCAACGCCGTGGTTTGCACTTCGGCCATTAGCAGCGGCTCCGCCTGCGTTTTCATCGCGTCTCGAACCCTCTACGGTCTCAGTTGCGATGGGCACGCGCCTAGGGTCCTTCAGCGCTGCAACAGGTTCGGGACACCTCACTACGCGGTAGGGTTGACCTGCGTCCTCATGTCGCTTGTCTATCTCAACGTGGCCAACAACACCTCTGTCGTCTTTGGATGGTTCGTCAACATCACAACAGTTGCCGGTCTGATCGGTTGGATCGTGATTGAGATCACGTATCTTCGGTTCTTCGCTGGGCTTAAGGCACAAGGCTACTCTAGAAATGGTAAGAGACTGTTCGTGATGACCGTTCACTGTGCATGTTACGCTTACACCTTTAATTAGAGCTTCCATACAAGGTTTCTGGACAGCCCTATATATCATGGGCGGCCTTAGTGATGGTTGTTCTTGTTGTCTTCTTTTCAGGTAAGCCTCCGCGAATGAATGTGTTACCATCGCAGAATTTCGAGTCATTCCCAACTCACACCATCATTCAGGCTTCGACGTCTTCACAACCGGAAACTTTACCGCCTCGGGGTTCTTGACATGCTATCTCAATGTCTTCATCTTTGCAAGTGAGTTGCCTGCTCCCTTCCTCAACACCGTGGTCATGGGCTAATGCTGTGTCACCAGTCCTGTACATCTTCTTCAAATTCTATCTCAAGTCTCGAGTGATTGCGGTAGGCGAGATGGACTTTGAAACGGAATTCGCTTCAATCCGGTATGAGAAGGCACAAGAAGAAGTGTATGGGCCTGGGAAGTCGGGGCTCAAGCATTCGATTCGTAGAATAATACACGCTGTTTAGGTACGGAACCCAAGATAGGAAAATAAATAGGGATTGCTTGAGGGAAATGCAATGTACTGCAGGAACCAGTAATACTATAGAGCTATAATACAATGTTTTTAGAGCTAGTATCGACCTATTAAGTACCTGTGCTGAGGAACCCAGTACTAGTATACAATATCTCTTGCCAAACCATACAGATACGGTCTCGTTGAAGAAGCTAGGATTTGGTGTTCCCCCAAGCCGGCGCTCCACCGGGACATCGATGGCGTTGATACCGTCTCTTACGCCTAATAAGGTGGCGGAGAGTTGCCTTGGTCTCGGCTTTCCACGGCAGACGTTGCATTAAATGGTCTATTCGGCTTCCTCCGGGCTCACAGCGAAGCCACCGTTCTAGATCGGAGCCCAGAATCGTCTCCGGACGCAGTCCGGAAGACGGACGTCGAAGAAGGCAAATCATGCAAAGCAATGCCGTTGGCCACAGCATCTGAGCCCGGCGTCTCCAATTCGCTCGACCTCCCAGCCTCCTCCCTCGCCTGCAATCTCTTCCTCACCCAGGGCAACAAATTAAAGTATCCTCCACACGCAAACACCCCGCACCAGAGCACAAACTCAGTCGCGTAAATGACGACCCCCAACATATCAAGCCGGCGCTGGAAAAAGAGGGACGCGAGAGAGAATACGTCGCCCGCGGCATCGATACTGACGAAGATGAAGGAGATGCCGCGAACGGTGCGGTGAAGGTAGATGTCCCAGTAGTGTCGGAGTACTCCGGCGGCCAGGAGGGCGGCGGAGAGGGAAGCCATGAGGATCATGGGCCAATCTGTGCCGCGGGCCTTGACAATGCGGAGGCCAATGACGAGGGCGACTTGGATTCCGGCCATGACGGTTGCGATAGGGGCCACGACAGCGAGAGAGCGGAGGATAGACCATTTCTATGACCGAGGTGAGTAAGACAATTTCAGGTGAGGAATCGCATGGGAGATGTTACTCTTTGGTAGTAGAAGCACTGGATCCAAGTAGCGAGACTTAGGAATGTCAAGATCTGGGGTTGGATCTGCAGGGCAATGTTGAAGTCCTCGACGATATTGTAGACACCCAACGGAACGCCGGCCCACGCCCAGAGCATCATCATCGAAGGCTGCAGACCGGTAGCATTATGGCGTCGGTAATTGATGACAATTTGTGGAATAAGCTACGCAACGGCCGACCGTCAGGACACTATCCAAAAAAAAAATTCAATCTGACCGAAACGCACCTGAATAGACCAGCAGACCTGCAGAGTGTGAGTGCTTCTTATTTCATCTCTAGTGACGACGGGAACTTACTGCCCCAAGTGTGCCGAGTGCATTGGCTGCGGCTGGTATGTCCATGACAACCAACGCACATGTAAAGACACTCTACTGTTCCGTTGAATGCTAACGATGTAATGACAACTGTAGAAAGACTATCTTTCGATTGCGACAAATTGATTAGACTTATGGGCAAGAGACATACGTACATCATTGCCAATTAAGAGAGATATTGGTACTGTCGTGTCCGGGCATTGATCAATCCGCTATCGGCAACGTGCAGGAAATGAGTTCGGCCCAACACATGGATGACCGGTCGTAAAAAAAAAGCGAAACATAAGGTTCTCTCCCTTTCCAGAATCGAACTAGGGTCAGCCGCCCCATGTATGCAAGGAATCGACACCTGCATCCAAGGTACCTAGCAGGTACTTCTTGTTGATAGTGGCACATGGTCAACACAGCTGGACTGCGCGGTCAAAAATATTGGGACTTATTGGGAGGAGTCTTTCAAAGAGCAAAAGCAAGTATCTCTCTCATGTCCAAGATGATACAATGAAAATGGATCTTTTGCGGAGAAACTGGCTACGATACTTCATGCTGTGACTCCCTATGCCATTACAGAGTATGTGCCGAGTAGTGGTTACGGTGCTGGGGTTTTCATGGTGCTCAGCCTGCTTTACTAATTTTGTTATTAAACCAAAAGTTTCCATCCGGATTTATGAATTAGACAGGCTTAGT